ACTGCTTGCCCGGTTTCTCGTCGCTCGAGGTGCCCACTAGGGAGGGGGATTCGGAGAGGGAGGAGATCGCCGGCGGCTGGGCTCCGGCCGGAGGACTCGGCGGGCGGGATCCACCTCGCGCTTTTCTTGGCGCCCCCCCATGCCGTGAGCGAAGCGGCGAGCGCCATCCTCTGTTCCCCGGGGGAGATCTTGCTCCTGCCTGCAGCAGCTGAGACCCGAGCGCCGAGACCGAGAGGAGGTAGCGCCCGCCGACATGGCCGGCAGCGACGAGGTCAACCGCAACGAGTGCAAGGTCCGTCCTTCTCCATCCTCCTCCCTGGTTTGGCGCCTCCCGCGCCTGTTTCGGGGCACTAGCGCCGCATGTGCAGGCCTCCGTCCTTGCGCTCGTGTCCGGGTTCTCGTTTCCGGGCCTTCTTCTTGCCGTGTGGGCGCCGCCGCCCGCGCGATTTTCGATTTGTGCCGCCCCCGCCCCCGCCGCTTTACGGCCGAGTTGAGACGGTGGGAGAGGGGATTGGGGCCTGGCCTGCGATTTCTCGCTCGCTCCGTCGCTGCCTTTGTTTCCCCTTTGGGCTCAACCCCAATTTTATTCCCCTCTCGCCTGCCCCGGTTGTTTTAGGGGGGTGCCCGGCCGATACTAACACAGCACAGCTACCCAACAAGCAACAAATCATTCATCCGCATCCATCCGTCCGGCCGTGCGCGCGCGCGCCGCAGAGCGCCGGCCCAAAGCTTGCATCTTTTCTAGCAAGACGCGACCGCAACACGGCGCCTCGCATTGCGCTCCTGTCCGCGCGCGAATCAGCAAAGAAATAGGAGGATTCCTTTCGTTTCGTTTCGTTGCGAGGTGTGATTGGGAGTGTTTTTTGTTGGTGGTCTCTGTCTCACTGTTGCTGCTGGCTTTGTCGTGCTGTGCAGACGGTGGTGCCGCTCCACACATGGGTGCTCATCTCCAACTTCAAGGTGTCGTACCACATGCTGCGCCGCCCCGACGGCACCTTCGAGCGCGACCTCGCCGAGTACATGGACCGCCGGGTGCCCGCCAACCCCAGGCCGGTGGAGGGCGTCTCCTCCTTCGACCACGTCATCGACCACTCCGTCGGCCTCGAGGCGCGCATCTACCGCGCCGTCGCCGGCAACGCCGCCGCGGCCGCCGAGGGCGCCGCCGCGCTCACCCTGCCCATCCTCGAGTTCCTCGGCGGGGCGACGTCCCCGGAGCCGCTCCCGGTGATCATCTTCTTCCACGGCGGCAGCTTCGCGCACTCGGCGTCCAGCACCACCATCTACGACAACCTCTGCCGCCAGTTCGTGAAGCTGAGCAAGGGCGTGGTGGTGTCCGTCAACTACCGGCGCGCCCCGGAGCACCGGTACCCGTGCGCGTACGACGACGGGTGGGCCGCGCTCAAGTGGGCGCAGGCCCAGCCGTTCCTGCGGAGCGGGAGCGACGCGCGGCTCCGGGTGTTCCTCGCCGGCGACAGCTCCGGCGGCAACATCGCGCACCACGTGGCCGTGCGCGCCGCGGAGGAGGGGATCAAGATACACGGCAACATCCTGCTCAACGCCATGTTCGGCGGCGTGGAGCGCACCGAGTCGGAGCGGCGCCTCGACGGCAAGTACTTCGTCACGCTCCAGGACAGGGACTGGTACTGGAAGGCGTACCTGCCGGAGGACGCGGACCGGGACCACCCGGCGTGCAACCCGTTCGGGCCGAACGGGCGGCGGCTCAGGGGCCTGCCGTTCGCCAAGAGCCTCATCATCGTGTCCGGGCTGGACCTCACCTGCGACCGGCAGCTGGGCTACGCGGAGGGCCTCCGGGAGGACGGGCACGACGTGAAGCTGGTGCACCGCGAGAAGGCCACCATCGGCTTCTACCTGCTGTCCAACACGAACCACTACCACGAGGTGATGGAGGAGATCGCCGAGTTCGTCCGAGCTAACCTCCTGTAGTACATACACCAGCCCAGTCGTCTCGTCGTGGATGAGCTCGCCGTCCGTCCCGACGCAATCAAATACGTACGTACGTACTGCTGCCTATAGGAAGCTAAATGGTAAGCTTGACTTATACTAGTATCTCTTATACTACTGCTGCCGGTGCTGCTGCTGCTGCTGGTTGGGGATGTCATCTTGGAGCCCGGCAATGGCTTCCGGCAAGTGATCTCTAGGCTCCAAAGGGGATCCCCACGTCTGTCCGTCTGTCCTTCTGATGATAAAACTCAATGGCTCGACCTCGTCGGAGCGAGGGAAGCCATTGTCGTCCCACTAATTGTTCCGCCGGCCGATCGGTCGGTGTGATCCTTGGAACTCCGATGATCTGTATCCATCCATGTGTTTGCCTCTGGGGCTAAGACAAGAGAGAGAGTGCCTCCGCTCCAGCGTGTACCATTTGACATTGGTTGATGGAGAGGAGCATATTATTTCACCTTCATCCTCTGTTGCTGCTGCCTGCTTATCCTTGAGGGAAGATGTGTCTAACGTTATGTGTACAGTGATCGATCGATCGATCAACGGTGAGTCTTTTGTTGCTGTTGATGTGGTAGTTTCTTTCTTGTGTCAGCTACGGGTTGGGTTGGATTGGATGGTGCTCTCTCAGCTCACTCTCGTCCAATCCGTGCATGTGAAAAATACACCTGTCTATCTATCTATCTATCTATCTATCCTGTGTGGTGATGATATATGCTTCTAGTCCAGTCCAGACCAGTAGTAGTCTAGTCTAGGCTAGCAGTATAAATTCTCCTCTAACTTTTTTTGTATCTTTCTCTCCTTTTCTGGTTGATGTACTCTGATCTGATGATCCTTATGTATACACATGTTTGGACTTTGGACTGCGAGTGCTGTAACGCGTGTACTGTGCTTGGTTGATCCATCCATTCCGGTTTTTTTTCATCCACATGGGTGTCGGTGAAGAATGTGGTACTGGTAAAAGTAGATGATGCCAACATTTCGAACCAATTATGTTGGATATGCAAGGTTTTTATTTCTTTGATTCTCAAATACTAAATGGAGAGTACCACGGTACTCTTGTCGTAGGGCTTTGGTTCGGGGCGATGATGATGGCTGTTTTGTCCATTGCTCCTGGCGCCACGTGGCGTCGTCACCTGCGTGCCTCCACGCGAAATTTGGGCAGCTAGCTAATTCTGTGGCGGGTATACTTGGGTGGAACGGTGGTCTGTCGGCGATCGGAAAGTGACGTGTTGCGTCCCGTTGCGTGCCCCCGTTGCAACGCGAATGGACCGGACCGTGTCACTTCCCCCTCCCTTCCTTGTGGTTGTTGCCTTGTAGGAGTAGTAGCTGTTGTGATCTGATCACGCTGCTGCTGGGGCTGTGGCTGGTGTGGGTGAATGTGACATTATTCTGCAGTGAGCGCGTGCGTGCATGCAAGTCATTCTTGCACGCAGGAGGGCCGTGCGTGCTTTGCCAATGGCGTGCTGCAGCTACCCATTTCGGGCGCTCAGTCGTGCGGGAGAGGGCGCCTCGTACGGGATGGGAATAGGATCCTCTCGAGGCAGAGAGGGACAAATGGCTGGAGCAGTGTCCAAAACAGCACCGCAACATCTGTGTTGCATTTTTCTGCTGGGAGTTGCAGCATTGCCTGGCTGATGATGAAAAAAGAGAGGCGTGGCATCATCTCCGGGGCGGCGAAGGGCCGAGGGCAAGGAACGGAGGGAGGCTGCTGCTGGCTTTCTCGTGCGCTTTAAAGTCACGGAGCGCAGCGCAGCGGTTGAAAACATTGACGCTCGCGAGCAAAGGTGGCGCAAGTCTCCTGAAAAAGACAAACGGGTCCTGCTGCGCTGCCACGTGTTCTCATTTACTGCCGCTCTGCATTGTATATCCGCCCCGGCCACGGCGCGGCGGTGGCATCCATCCGCGGCAGCCGGCCGGCCTCGATCGCGGCGTGCAAAGTCAAGGCTTGGCGCACCACGTCCAACGGACAAAGCGCGGCGTTTTTTGGAGTTCCCCCGGCGGGCGGGCGGGCGGGCGGCCTCGTTCCCTTTCGGCTTCTCCCCCGTCCACTCCAACCACCTTTGCTTCGGGTTTCCTTTCCTTTCCTTCTACTGCTGCTATACTGGCTGCTACTCCTGTCACTGCCCCGCCGGTCGGTGTCACTCGTCGCTCGCTCGCCCGCCGTGTCCATCTCTTCCAATTGTTTCTTCTCGGACGGACGGACCGGCGCCGGTGTGGGGATTAAATTGGCAAAAAGATCTACTATTAGACATGGATGGTAATTATTTTCCTCTCTTCTTTTCTGGTGCTTCATCCATCTCCATCCATGCGCCAGAAATACCACACCTCAATTCTGCTCCGCTCACACCTAGGTTAGACATTGTATAGAGGTTACGTCAATCAATTCAGAAGGAGTGCTAATAAATTATCCAAATAATTATTGTTACTCTTGTGTCTTTCTAGGCGCATGATTAACCGGGGCAGAAAGGCCGAGATATTATCCGGGAGGTGCGTGTTGCCGGCTTGGCGGTACCAGGCACGAACAGTGCTAAAACAGTAATGCCATGTGTTCCGCTCCGGGCGGTACAATTATGCACGTCGGAAGGTCGTACCGAATCCAAATATTTCTGCGAGAAATAATCCTGGCCCGTTCGATTTTTTGGCTGGCTTGCTGGCCGGTACTCGTGGCCTCCGGCTGGCCATGTGTAAAACGCTCTTTGCTTGGACGAACCTAACACTCCGCCAGGCTCATTTATGTGCGTCTGTACGTGGTACGTACTGGAGCCGGCGACGTCTAATTAAGCGGCTCCGGCGGACAAATCTTCCCCTTATCTCCAGACCTGGACAACCGGGAAACCGACGCTCGGATGAATAGTGAGCCGTACGATCTATCTACCACTTGCTGCCAGTAACATTCACTCCTACTACTCCCTTCATTCCACAATGTAGTGCTTTCTCTATCCATGTGTTTCAACTTTGACCGTAAATTTAACTACCAAGACCGATTGCGGCGGGAGCAAATTTTTTTCTTCCGCCGCAGTTGGTCTCGTTGGTTAAATTTATGGTCAAAGTTAGACCTCGGAAAATGCGGGCGCACTATATTTTAAAATGGAGGGAGTACTAGTTAAGAGCGAATTTTCACTTCCTTTTTGATAAAAGGGGTCTCTCACTTTCCCCAGACCCACTTGTCCTAGAACGAGGCAGCAGCCCTCACAGGTTCGCCTCTTCGACGATGCAGCAGCAGTAGGCATCACAACATGAGGGTGGGCTGCTTTCTGCTAAAATCCTTCCCTGATGCAACAACTTGCCAACATGCATCTTCATCTGTCCAAACCTTGCCCTGGAAGGGCAACTCTAACTGATTCCCTAAAAGTTTATGGAGGATCCAATGGAGTAAAGTTGGCGGAGGAAAAATTTACTCCACTAACTGTGGCCGCACATAGCCGCATGAACTCTATATTTAGTGGAGTAAAAACAAAATTGTGTAGCTTTTTTTATCCTAGTCGCATGAACTTCACACACTAAATAATATATATCATAAAAACATTCAATTTAAACATGCATAATATAACCGCTATAACTGTTGACGCTCGATAATGGCATGATCGCAAAGAGTGACTTGAACCTGTAGCAATAAGTCAAAATTTTGGTTGTAAGTCATTATTGGATGGCTCTCTTCGAGAAGATCAAGATGGATACAAAGATAGTCCAAAACGGAGCTCAGATGCAAGAAGTACGGCAATTTCAGAAATGCCCGTGTTGACATCAGATTATGATATGTCCTGAAATGTAATTAAGATCACCTAGGATGGAAAAAAATTCAACATGAAAGTTCTTCATCTCGTCGAAACGGATGAAGTTGATATATAAATCGTCTTAATCCAAGGTCATTTGCAAAAGTACGAGCCAAAACAGTGCAATGTTGCAAAAACTATGGACATGGCCGGACGTCCAAACCTCCTGTTGTGACCGGACTGTCCGGAAATTAGGACCAGACTGCCGGTCAGGCTCGTCAAAATCATCCAAACCTTCTATTATGACCGGACAGTCCGGTCCAGATCGAAACTGGAGTTTTTTACGAATCTGATCAGTATAAGGGCGATTCGGCCTTGAAGATGACCTCGAATCAAAAAAACATTCAACATAAAAGTTGTTTGCCTTGTCGAAATGGTCAAATTTCCTTTTGGGCTCATCTTCATCCGAGGTTGTTTGTGGCCTGTGCGACCCAAAAACCGAACTGTTGTTTCAGACTTGCCTAAATTCGAGTTCGGTTAATTTTGGAAAGATTTGGATTTGGAGTCCTTTTCTTGTAGGGAAGTCCAGCCGCCTCATAAATAGATGAGAGGTGATGGCCGATTGAAAAACAATACACAATCAACAAAATCACCTACCACTTTTTACCTTTATTTTTATCTCTCTCCCTTGTTCTTCTTCTCCCTCATTCTTCGTTCATTTTTCTTGTTGCAGGGCGGCGAACCTCGAGGCCCTATGGGCTATCGGGTCGACCTAGGGAAGCCCATAGCCGCCGCGCACCCTGACGGGGTCCCTCCCGGGCGTGTGAGGTTTCGGGTCTACAAAAGCGTCCGCCGGATTGCTTGTGTATCGCGCTTCCGGCCGGGTCTCCTTCAACGTGAGCTGCCGTGCATCACCCCCGGCGTCGAGGGCATACGGTGACATGTTCATGTGCGAACACACTTTTTGGTGACTCCGCTGGGAACGAAGCTTCGAACGGTCTCCGGCCTGTTCTTGCTACGAAGAGATCGTCATCAAATTGCTGCAATCCACAAAGGTAATATGAGTACCCAATTCTCCTTTGTAGATGCAAATAATCCATATGTTGTTGCTAGATCGCCTAATGAGCATAATGTATCGGCTAGCCCTAGTTTTATTAATCATGCATTTAATTATGTGCAAGAGCCGATGCAACAAAATCTCCATGCTTCTACCTCATATAATTTTAGCAACATGCAACATATGTATTCCAATTCCCATGCATCGGCAACCCC